CAAATGAGAAAATTGAGGCAAACAGGGTTAAGTGACTTGCCAAGGGTCACACATCTAGGAAGTATCTGAAGCCAAATTTGAACTAGGGGAGACGAGTTTTCCTGACTCCAGACCCACTGTACCACCTGGCTGCCACTTTTAGAGATTTTTTGTTTGGGGATTTTTGTTACGGTTTTTTTTTTTTCCATTTTGACAAAGTTTGGGGATTTTTTGTTATTTTTTTTTCCATTTTGACAAAGTAGCACCCATTAATTGCACAAAGTAGGGCCTTGATAAATGTTGGACAAATTGAATTGAATTGAACATTACATCCATTCAAATGTGATTGTGAAATGCTCACTCAGAGTCCTGGGCCTGACATGACCCCATAGCACACAATATTTGGCACTAAGTGCTTATGACATGGTTTGTAAAAATAACATCAAATCAACTTACTTCCCAAAGTCATTTCTCTTGAAACCAGTGACCCCAACCTTGTAATCATGTCTCTACATGACAATACTAATGGGATTAAAGTGGTACTGCAATAAATACAGATTCTCAGTTGTTCTTCAGTCTATCATAATTTTCTCTTTTATGGACTAAAGAATGATTCCACCAATGATTAAACGGGCCCTGGAAAATGAACTCTCCACAGGGCCTTGCATAATTGATCCCCCCTGCAGCACTGAGGCATATCAATATGCCTGGCCAATCTCCTTAGGAAAATCTGAGATCATTTCCAAAAGTGTTAACTCATTTGTCCCCAAATGCCTCAAAGTGAAGTCAATTTTTTCCCAAATTCATTCTTAGCAATGCTTAATTCCACTGGTGGTGGTGGTGGTCCTTCATTTTCAAAGAGGGCCAATGACCTTGGCCAGCAGACCAGACTAGAAGAGGGTCATGGGAGCATCATTTAGGAGCTCAAAGAGGCCTCAGAGGTCATCTAGTTGGGCCCCTTCATTTTACAAAAGAGGAAATAGAGACTTAAATATTCAATTTGCACCAGGTTCCACAGGTAGTAATTAGCAGAGCTGGGATGGAACCAATGTTGAGAAAAGGTAAGTGTTACCCTGCCAACATTTCAGACCAGACCACACAAGCCCTGCTGGCCAGAGCTTGGGTGCTCCAGAGATAAGCACTTGTTGACTGATTACAGGTCAGGAAATAAATTAGATGATTTATCAAATTCTTTTATCCATAACCCAGGGATTGGAATGAGAAGCACAAATGGGCATTGGAGACACCATGACTAATTGGAAGAGGATGTTTCTTCTTTTCCTATTAACATAGTTTCGCAGAATAAAAAGGGAGAGAGAGAGCAGATTAGTCATGGAGTCCAAGCTCAATAATATCATATCTACTGAAGCAAGAGGAAGCCTGGTCTAGCAGACAGAGCTAGACTCAAACTTGGGGAGACCCTCTAAGACACAGTGGCTGGTGAGCCCAGACAATGCCATCAACCTTTAGTGCCCTTAGGCATCTCTGTAGTGCTAGAGATTGCAGAACAGATGCTGATGATTGAGAGAGACAGAGAGAAAGAGAGAGGAAGAAGAAGATGAAGAAGAAGAAGAAGAAGAAGAAGAAGAAGAAGAAGATGAAGAAGAAGATGAAGAAGAAGAAGAAGAAGATGAAGAAGAAGAAGGAGAAGAAGATGAAGAAGAAGAAGAAGAAGGAGAGGGAGAAGGAGGAGAAGAAGAAGAAACAGGAGAAGCAGGAGAAGGAGAGAAGGAGAAGAGGGAGAGAATGAAAAAGAAGAGAAGAGGAGAGGAGAGAGAGATGTAAGACTTGCAAAGTTGTTTGCATATTACTTCATTTGATCCTCACAACAAATTTAGGAAGTAGGTGCTGTTATTAGCCACATTTTTACAGATGAGAAACTGAGATTGAGAGAGGTGGTGACTTATTCAGGGTCACACAGCTAGTGTCTGAGGCAAAAATGAAACTCATGATTTCAGTTCCTCATAGAAAATTCCCAATATTGGCGAAATCACAGGTATGATAAAAGAAAAACTTTTTCAGTTGTGTCCAGTTCTTTGAGATCCCATTTGGGGTTTTCTTGGCAAAGATACTGGAATAATTTGCTATTTCCTTCTCCAGTTCATTTTACAGATGAGGAAACTGAGGCAAAACGGGTGAAATATACCTGCCCAGGATCACACAGCTAATAAGTGTCTGAGGCCAGATTTGAACTCAGGTCTTCCTGACTTTAGGCCCAGCACTCTATCCATTGTACCACCTAACTACCCTGAAGCAAAAATGAAACAAAACAAAAGATAAAAATTATTGCCTCTTGGCAAGTCTAATTGTGTAACCAGAAGCAGCCTTCCCCTGTCTAGGTCTCATGACTTTCACGTATAAAATGAGACCATAAGACCTCTGAGTTCTAAAACTAGAATTCAGAGAGACAGCTTCTTCCATCCCCAAAGAACTGTGTGCTGTCTTTGTTGTGTGTGTTTTGTGTTTTGTTTTCTTTTTAATTTATGTTTCCAGTCAAGCTTTGGGTAAACTCAGCCCAAAGTGAATTTGGTCATGTTACCAATCTTTTAATGCCTCAGGAAAAAAAAAATCCAAGTATTAGCTTTGGTGACACACCATAAACATTCTTACTAATAAGCTTAAAACCATCTGCCCTGCCTTTCCTCATCATCTCCTGAGGCTCTAAAAGACACTGGCTTGGAACACATAGTCCCCTGAGACTCTTGCCAACTTCTATTATAAACAGGTAAGACAGTAGAAAGAATGTTTCCTCTCGAAGAAAGCACCTAAACACCTCCAAAGGCAATCTACCCTACTTTGGAACTATTCTTGCTGCTAAATGGATGTTTTGTGTGTATACATGTGTTTTCCCTTATATCAAGCCTAAATTTGTTACTTGGAAATTTTCACTCAAGGCTCCTGGTTTTGCTTCTTAGGCCCAGATCAGCCAGTCAATCAATAAGGATTTATTAAGCACGTTTTGTGTGCCAGGCACTGTGCTAAGTACTAGGGATACAAAGAAAGATAGAAGGCACTCTGTGCCCTTGAGGTCACAGTCTAATGAATAATGGATTTAGAACTAAAAAGAGCCTTCATAACTTGGGTTTAAATCCTGGCTCAGACATAAGTGATATTGGGCAGTCAACCCCATCTGAGCCTGTTTCTGCATCTGTAAAATGAGGATATTAATACTTACTTTCATTGAATCACACAATTGTTATGAGAACAATTGTTATATGAACAATAAAGTATTAAAGAAAGGTGAGCTAGGATTTCAAAGCTACTCATTTGGAGGTTCTACTTATTTGCTTTAAATGAGCTAGCAGTAATTCAGCCAAAGTGCTAGGCCATGGCCTTTGAGGACTATAAGATGTGGAAATGACCAACAAAGAGCTGTTCCACAGCCAATGGAGACCGAATTCATCACACACATGTAAAAGCAATGCTTTCATAATCTAACTGAAATGTTTCCTGATCATTTTTTTCTTTTAAAAAAAATCCAATAGGTAAAACTATACTTAGATTCCAAATTTAAGTCAGATACACAGATTCCACCAACTCTAAAAGAGAAAGATCAAAATCAATGTCTTTAAAAGAGATTGGAAGAAAGAGGAAAACGATTACTAAGCACCTACTGTTTACCAGGCACTATGCTAAGCACTTTACAAATATTATTTCATTTCATCCTCACAACAACTCTGGGAGATAGGTGCTATTATTATCCCCATTTTCCAGTTGAGGAAACTGAGGCAAATAGCTGCCTGCACAAGCCACTTGTAAAATGATGCAGTTGGACCCAAATGCCTCCAAGGGCCCTTCCAACTCTATCTATAATTGTATTTGTTAAACAAGAGAAGAAACTCTTGTCTTGACCCCAAATAAAATTAGTGTGTCTAATGCAATTCACATTTAACCAAACATGTGTCTACATAGTGCTTTCATTTTCACAGCAATCAAGAGTAGCGGTGGGTGAAAATAGCTTCCCAACCATTTTAAAGCTAGATATTGGGAAATAAGTTGCTCTGAGGTCTGTGTTAGCTAAACAAGAAGGACAACACTGTTCTCCCATGAGAAACCAATTTTGCGTAATACTTTCCCTTATAAACTCTTCAGGGGACATTTCTGAATCCCTTTTCTTTTATCGAACCAAAACCCATTGATATCAAGAAGGAACCAAGATCTGAAGAAACAGACCCAGCTAACAGTAAGCCTATGTGGACTCTACCTTCCCTTTCTTCCCTTAAAAAGCTTGAACCCATAATTAACCAGCTCAAATCTCCATTGTCCTCCACCCACCTAATCCCTTCTTCCCCCACTCCCTCACATTACCACTCAGCCCTTTCCAAACAATCATTCCCACCATCTGACTTCTCTACCATCACTCACCACTAGCCCCTGGCTAGATACAGTCATGTGAGCATGATGGCTGAGGCCTCGGCAAACTGCTTACCCAATCTCAGCTGGGTCTTCCCAGCTGCATGCAATCTCTCTATTCTGCTCTGATTGAGTTTCCAAACCTTCTCTTATGTCCCCAAACCACCTCCACTCCCACTCTCTGGCCCCGGGCAACAGATAATTTTCTCTCATAGTTTGTTTGTGTTTTTTAATTAACTCAGTATTCATTTGTCCTCCCTCCACCAAACTCTATTTGTTTTCTCCACGATCGCCTGGGGGAGGGAGAGGGGGAGGTATGCACTGGGTAGATGAGACCCGGGGAAAAACAGGAGGAAGAGAAGAAATGACAGGAAACAGAAATGGCTCCTTTACACGGCAAGGTGGATGAGGAAGACCACCATCATACGAAAAAAAAAACAAACAGAGAAAAGCCCAAGGTGGCATAGGAGGAAAGATGTTTTCTTCAGGAAGGAGTTTCTGGGAGAACCAATGATCAGACTTCCAAGACGGAACTGTCTCTGGGAGCCAACCACCATGACAGTGGCAGCCCCAGGCCCAGGGAACTGGTGTGTCAGTATCCCTTGGGGTGGAGCTAGTTTGGAAGCTGTGTGGAGATGAGGTGAGGTCAGGAGACCTGAGGCTGCCACGATGCTGAGACTCTCATCTACAGGAAGCTTTGGTTGGTTCAGCACCGCTGCAAATACTGGGAGACTCGAGGTGACTGGTAGCTAAGAACAGCTCCTCCCAAAGGCAGGGATGACCGCAGGACAGAGGACCCTGGGACAGGTATCTGTTCTCAAGGAGCGAGGGGCACAAGGTGGAATCACAGTGTATAGAGCACTTGGCCTGGAGGCAGGAAGATCTGAGCTCAAATGCAAACTCAGACACTCACTAGTTGTGTGACTCTGGGCAAGTCACTTACTCTCTGTTTACCTCAGTTTCCTCATCTATAAAGTGGCAATAATAATAGTGCCTACCTCCCAGAATGACCAAGTGAGATAACAATTGTAAAGCACTTAGCACAGTGGCTAATGAGTACTACATAAATGTTAGTCGTTATTATTGTTACTGTTGTTATCATCCTGGTGCATGTTCATGGGATGAAGCAGGAATGTGGCCCAGAGACTCTGATTCTCTCATATGCGGCAGTGTTACGGCTAGAATTGTCAGCTTGGAATCACGAACAGCTGGCTGTTAATAGCTGGCCTAGCTCTCTGTGTCTTAGCTCCCTCATCTGTAAAATGGGGACGATAGTGGGGTGATTGGGCAGCTAGGTGGCATCATACTGGATAGAGCACCAGGCCTGGAGTCAGGAGGACTCATCTTCCCGAGTTCAAATTCAGCCTCAAAAACTTACGAGCTTTGTGACCCTGGGCAAGTCATTTCACCCTGCTTGTCTCAGTTTTCTCATCTGTAAAATGAGCTGGAGAAGGAAATGGCAAACCCTTCCAGTATCTTTGCCAAGAAAACCCCAAATGGGGTCACAAAGAGTCTAACACGGCTGAAAGGATGGAATAACAACAAATGGGGTGACTAGAACCTATCTCACAGGGTTATTGTGAGAACTGAATGAGAAAGTGCTTTAAAAATTTAAAGCACTATTTATTTGGTAATGTAGACCAGCTAGTTAGCACACTTTGCCAAGAAAAGCGAGATCAGTATGGTGAGCTGCCTTGACTTCCAAAGTGGACAATTGAGTCCTCGCTCTCCCGTCCTCCGTTCTCTCCTCGGTCCCTGATGAAGAGCCCCTCCCCTCCCCCTCCATCCAAGCTAACCCCTTTACCTTTCACCCCCTCTCTCCCTCTGCCCTCTCCTCTCTCCAAACGCCCGCCCCTTGGCAGAGCATTTGGCTCTGACTTTCAGTCCTTACCCAGAGCATCTTTCCTGCTGCCTACAAACACATCCAGCTCTCCGGCATCTCTAAAAACCTCTTCTTGACCTTCGCATCCCCTGGATCTCTCTTCCCTGTCACAGCCAACATCCTGGGGGGAGAAAACTTATTGTTTCCATTTTCTCTCTACCTCCTCAACACTCAACTCCTTCTAATTTGATTTCTGTCCCCATCCCTTCACTGAAACCACTCTTTCCAAGGTCACTAGTGATCTTTTTGGTGCTATAGCTACAGCCTCCAGTCGGTTTTCTGCCTCAAGGCTTTCCTACACGGCTACCGAATCGATTAGCCTGAAAACAGGACCGCCTGCGTCACACTGCCCGGCTCAAGAGGCTTCAGCGGCTTCTTGTGGCCTCCAAGATAAAACACAGTCCTCTGGATGCTGTCTGCAGCCTATCTTTCTGAGCTGACTATATATTACTCCCCTTTTTGCATTCTATATTTCAACCGCACTGACCTGGGTGCTCTTACCTGAAATCAGCAGTCCTCTCTGACCTCCAGTTTCTTCCTCATCCCTTCACTGATCTGCCTCCTGGACCCTTTAACCCCTTACAAGACTCAGCTGAAGTACCTCCCTCTTCAACAGGCCTTTCCTCCCTTATTAGTGCCCCCAACTATCTTGTGCTTATTTTATATGTAGTTTGTATTTCTATGTAGTTGTATATATTTGTATTTGTGTATGGTTTGTATTTATTTCTTGAGAACTTCCCCAAGTAGAATGTAAGCTCTTTGAGAGCAGGCCTGTTCATTCTCATCTTTGTAAATCCAGTGCCTAGAATACAGGCGATATCAATAAGTGAATTGAATTGAACTGAACTGAACTGAACTGCAGCAGGTCAGCCTAACATGGATCAGTGCTAGGGATCAGGGGCTGGTGCGATGAAAGAGTCCTGAGTCACCAGTGGGGGAACTGTGGCCCAGGCGCCCTGATCGGGGCCCAGCTACAGGCTCTTTGGGCAACAGGAATATAAAGGCAGTAGAATTTGCAAGAGAACTCCTGGGAACTTCCTTGCTGACAGCTTGGAACTTCCTTACCTGTGGTTTTTATCAACAAGAGATAGAGAGACAGAGAGACAGAGACAGAAAGACAGAGACAGACAGAAAGATAGACAGATAGGTAGACAGAAAGACTGACAGATAGATGGATAGATAGATAGAGAGACAGATATATATACGTATTTGTATGTAGGTGTATATATGTACGTGTGCATATTAAAGTGATTTGTTTGAACCCTTGGGTTCTGAGTGTTCTATGGCTCCAGATGCAGAATGGCGACAGGACTATTACAAGCATTCTTCCCATCTCAGTCTCCATGTCCACTAACAACAATGGAACAATTCCACAGTATCATAATGTTGACAATGAGTCTTAAAAAGCACACCCAGAGCAGCTGTGGGGTGGTAGTGACAGTTTTAAGGGTGTTGATGGTCTCAGCATCCAAGAGATCTAAAGGAGAGAAAAGAACTGAAAAAAAAAATAGGGAAAAGGCACAAAATTCTTACTACCAAAAGAGAAGGAAATCAAATTGATCTCCATAAATCCCACTGGCACAATTGCCTCATCCCGCTGCTTTTGTTTTCTTGGGGGAGGCTGGTAGTGATGCTAAAGGCACCAGGCCTGTGATTTCTTCTGCATGGGGAACCCCAAGGAGGAAGCTCCCTTTACCGGTGAAGAAGCCTTCCTCCTCTATGCCCTGCAGTCTTAGGGACTGGCCTTGGGCCCTGCAGGATACAGTGACTGCCCTAGCTCATACCCTCACTATGGGGCAGGTGGGATTTGAACTCAGATCTCCCTGCCAAGTCTCATCCTCCCTGACCCAGAAGCTCCTTCTGTTTCCACTGTGCTTTCTCATACCTGAATCAAGATTCTACAAAGTCTTTATGAAAATCAATCGCAGGGCTGACTTTCCCCAGCACAGATATTAAAATCAGAATGGAACAAGATTAGCATAGCCCAAGCAAGGCTGCAAATTTATGAAACATTCTGTGTTTCTATGATTTTGTTTCTAAAACAAAATGAACATTTTACAGAATGTCAGTTCAAAAAGTAATGTAGTGAATACTATAGATTTTCTTTTATGTTCAATTAGTCCCTGAGGGCTAGTCTCAATTTTTCAAAGAAAAAGAAAATGTAATAGGTTTTTTGTTTGTTTTTTAGAAAAATCTAGAAAGACCGGAATACTGTAAGCAGTCTTCTGAATGGAAGAATGAACTTTCAGGATAAGCCACTCTGCTATGAATGCTACCCCACCCCTCAGGATTCAAAGACAGAAACACAGCTTCAATATATATCAAAATAGTCATAGTTATCAATCAATCAGTCACAAAACATTTATGGAGCACCTACTATGTGCAAGACTGTGGCAGGTGCTGTGTGGAACACCTACTATGTCCAAGGCTGTGGTAGGTGCTGTGTGGAGCACCTACTATGTGCAAGGGCTGTGGCATGTGCTCAGAGTATGGTGGCACTTCTCCCTTGGCCTAGCGAAGAAGTAGAAAGAAACTGATTTGCCATAGTGTAAGGAATCACTGAACAATTCGCTGCGCATGAATAGGCGGAATGTTATCAGGCCCAAGGAAGCTGTGAACACGCAGCTGAAGAAAGGTGATGTATGTCAGGCAGTGAAATAAGCAGAAGCAGAAGGGTAATGTTTGCAGAGACTAAAATCATGCAAATGGAAGAAGACTGAAAAAGAGCCTGAGTAGTATCATAATATTCCTGGAGGGGAGGGGAAGAATTAACAAAAGATCTCTCTTCTTCATCAGGGACAATCGAAGGACAGAATAAGGCAGCTACGTAGGAAGACCTATGTTCAAATCTAGCCTTGGACACTTACTGTCTGTGTGACCCTGGGCAAGTCACCTTACCCCTGTCTGCCTCAGTTTCCTCATCTCTAAAACGGGGATAATAAGGCCAATATTTTACAGTATCACTGGGAGGATCAACTGAGTTCATACAAATAATCATTGTTCTTCTTCTTGTTGTTCGTCCTTCGTTCTGGAAGAGGACCATGACATCAAGGAGGTGATGCCATGACATGCAAGTGAGTTGGATTTAAATGAGGGAGGGCTGTGCAGGGTCACCAGCCTCACTGTCTCCTCCAGCAGAGCCATCTGGATCCAGTGGCAAGACATAGATCAGAAGCGCTAGAAATGGCCCTGATGCAGCAGGAAACCTCGCCCTTTTTAAGTTAAGGTCTCTCCTGGGTACCTGTTTTTCTGAGGCAATACCCATTCAGTGATTAAGGCCAAATAAGAAATGAGGCAAAAAATGCCCTCCTTTATGTAGTTAAAATAATAATAATAATAATAATTCTGGGAAGGGGAGACCCTCAGAGTTTGTGGCCAAAACAGAAACAATTGCTATTTACGCTCACTCTGAGCCATCAAGGCCTAAACATTGACCAAGTGAGGCTTGGGCTGGGACCTATTGTTGGCCAATCAACGAGAGCCAGAGTAATTTGGGTTTAAGGCATGGTCTTTAAGAAAGAAATCTAGCCTGTAAACCCCAAGATATCTTGTGATATTTCAGTGATCAAAATTTATATTCCTTCGGACAGAGCACCCACCAGTAAAGGTATGATACCCTATGTGGACAGAGAGAGAAGAGGGAGGGAAAGAGAGAGGGAGGGAGGAAGGGAGGGAGGGAAGGAAGGAAGGAAAGAAGGAAGGAAGGAGGGAAGGAAGGAAGGAAGGAAGGAAGGAAGGAAGGAAGGAAGGAAGGAGCTGTGTTGCCCAACTGGAACTGGCCAGTTGGGTCCCCAGTGGGGCAGCTCCTACTGCTCACAGGTTGTTGTCTGTCCTTCGTTCTGGAAGAGGACCATGACATCAGAAAGGTGATGCCATGACTTGCAAATGAATTGGATTTAAATGAGGCAGGGCTATGCAAAGTCATCAGCCTCACTCTCCCCTTGGGAGCCATAAGAGGAAGAGGCTATAGTGAAGAGAACATGGGGCTTGGAGTCTCAAACACCTGCCTTTAAGTCATGCCTCAGACAAACACTTCATGATCCTGGCATGTCATTGAAGCTCTTTGGGTCTCAGTGTCCTCATCTGTAAAATGAAACAGTTGGGCTTTATGACCTCTAAATGTCCTTTCTAGGCCTAAGCTATGATTCTCAGTAAAATGTGCTGCAAACCTTAAAGCACTTTATAAATGCTAGTTATCATTAATATTATATTATTAGTTATTATTAATATTAGTATCATGACATTGACAAGTCCGCTCACCATAATGGTTTAGCTTAATTTTCTTTTGTGTTACAAAGGAAGGTTTGATTAGTGGAGTGGGGGCAGGGTTAAATCCAGAAATAACCATGATGGGTAAAAAAAAAAAAAGCATCAATAAAAGTTTTTTTTTTCAACTTGAAGGAGACATAAGCCCAAGACAGTTCAAATAAAAGCCCTCCTGACATCATTTTTTCTCCAGCTACCAGAAATTCTGGTTTTAAATTATTCTCCAGATAGATAAAATCAGTGCTTGCGCTAGACCCTAGAGGGCAAAGTCCTCTTTTTAAGTTTTAGCACCCCACCTCCTAAACACATTCAGTAAGAAGCAGGAAAGATGCAGCGGGAGGAGAAAATGAAGTGAGATGTGTATAACGTGTATCAAATTGCTTGCCTTCTCAATTAGAGGTATGGGGAGGGAGGAAGGGAGAGAATTTGGAACTCAAAGTTTTTAAAATGAGTGTTAAAAATTTTTACATGTAATTGGGGGAAAATAAAATGCTAAAATAATTTTTTTAAAAGAAAATGAAGTGAGATCAGTAAGTTCTGCTCTGTTTCAGTGACTGGTCATGGAATCATAAACTTAGAGGGAGAAGAAGCTTAAGAGATCCTCTAGTCCAATCATTACATTTTTCAGATGAAGAAACTGAGGCTCTGAGACATTAAATGACTTAGCCAAGGTCACACAGGCAGGAAGTGGCAGAACCAGAATTAGAACTCTTGTCCTCTTCACACTGTACCATACTGGTTACAAGTCAACTGCCCATAGAACCCTGGTTCGGAAGTTAGAAGAGCTGAATATGAATTTTGAAAAATAATAATTAATAATAGCTAGCATTTATATTGGAGGAAGGCAGGTAGCTCAATAGATAAAGTCCTGGGCCTGGAGTCAGGAAAACTTCGGTTCAAATCCTGCCTCAGACACTAACTAGCTGTGTGACCCTGGGTGAGTCGTTTAATGCTGTTTGCCTCAATTTCCTCATCTGTAAAATGAGCTGGAAAAGAAAATGGCAAACTACTCCAGTGTGTTTGCCAAGAAAACCCCAAATGGGGCCACAAAGTTAGACACAACTGAAAAATGACTCAACAACAACCTCTCAATCAGTCAAAAAACATTTATTGAGCACACACTGTGTACCAGACACTGAGCTAAACAAATAGAGATGCAAAGTCAAAGGGTAGTCCCTGCCCTTAAGGAGATTCCAATGGAATAGGAGAGACAGACAAATAGGAAATGATTAAGAGAGGGAAGGCTCGGGCTGGGGGAGGCTTCCTGGAGGAGGTGGGATTTGAGCTGGGACTTAAAGAAAGCTGGGGAAGGCATCAGGCAGAGATGATGAGGAGGGAGAGTACTCCAGACTTGGGGGCAGCCAGTACAAATGCTTGGAGCAGGATTGAAGGGCATGTACTAGGAAAGAGGGCGCAAGAAGCCTAGAAGGGCAGGACTGAAAGCCAGCCCTCTTTGCCTTCTGAAATGACCAGGTATTGCATCATCCTCATGTAATTCTGGAGGTTCATTTGTACGCACTTATTTGGTGCATATCCTTAGTAAGCTGTAACCTTCCTGAGGGGAGATGACTTGAAGTCAATCTGAGTCCCTCCAGCATTGGGGAATTCATCACATCCCTAGCAGACCACTTCCCTTTAGAATAACTCTCGTGGATGGGAAACTTCCTCTGTTATCAAGTCAAAATCTCTCTCTTCCCAGCATCCATCCATTGCCCCTAGTACTATCCTCTGAAGTCAGTTAACAACCTTCTTCATGTGGAATGGCCCTCGGGCTGCCAGGCTGGTGCTGAACTTTAGCCGTGTAATGCAGCCTGATTTTCCAAATACTATGTTCCAGGTTCTTCACTGTCCCTCCACACACAAGCACACGCAGCCCCCACACATGCAACACACATTCTAATCTCCGTGCTTTTATTCTCAGCTGCCCCCTCCATCTAGAGCACTCTGACACCCCAGCTCCATCTATCCTAATGCAACTTCTCCTTTGAAAGTCAGGTCGAACCTCTCTTCCTCCATCCTACACTGAGCTCTTCCATACTAGACTTCCCTTAGCACTGTTCTCCCATACTGTACATCCCAGCACTAAATAATTGTATTCTATTCTTGTCTTCCCATGTTGTTTTGTTTGCTTTTGTTGATTCCCCAAGGAGACTGCGACCTCCTTATGGGACCGTGTCTGCTGCATCTTCTGCATCTCCGGGTACATACTAACAAGCCCTCGACAAACCACTGGCTGGAAAATATCACCCCTGACAGCTTGGTGAGTACAGGAATCACCGTCTTTGTTTCCCTCAGGTACTATATGCAGTGGTGAGTCTAGAACTTTACCTAAAAGGTTGGTGAAGGTCCAGTTCCGAACAGGAGTCAGGTTTTGAAGAAGCTGCTTTATTTCTGATGGGTTCTGATAATAATAGACACATACAGGGCTGTGAAGTTTATGATGTGCTTTCCACACTTTCAAATTTGATTTGAACCCTGAAAAAAATATCCTATGAGATAGGAAGGTATTGCCATCCTCATTTTATGGAGAAAGAAACTGAGTCTCAGAGAAGGTAAATGACTCACCCAGGGTCATACAGCTAGTTAAGTATCAGAGTGGGATCTGAATCCAGGTCTTCCTGATGCCAAACCCCACACCCTATCCACTATATTATGCCCTCTTTCAACCAAAGTGGGGGATGATGAAGACGAGCCAGTATTTTGTTATTTTCCCACATTTGGATTCTAATTGTTTTTCTTCAGTTAGAATTGTCCGACCCAAAACTCTGGTTTATTTTTATTTTCTGTGGAGGAGGAAGGTTGGGTCTATCTGCCTTTGAGAATGTGGAGCCCTCCAATTCAAATGGATTTATATGCAAATAAATATGATGAGTTCGATGGAAATGAACCAGAAACAGATGGATGACATCTTTCTAAAATTAGACATGAGTTTAAAAGTTAAAGAGAATTTGGCAAAAAAAAAAAGAGCATAAAATTAAATGGAATACCTTCCAAAACCTTGTGCAAGTTGTCTCTTGAGGCCAAAGATCATTTGAGCCATCCCTAATAAAGACTACAGAAATAGATTTGGATGTATCTTTCTTTTTTTATTAGCTTTCAATTATTCCTCCTTGAATAGGCGACCTAACTCCCTTCTTAGCTAATCCTTGTCAGGCCTTCCCAAGTGAGCAATCCTCAAGTGTACCTTCACAGTTGTCTTGGTTACTTCATTTTATAGAGAAAGACAGACGTGAAAGCTTGAAAAACACCCCGAGTCTTTTTTCTTTGCCATGGACCTTGACTTCAACACAAAGTAGTATCATGAGAAAACTCATCCTTATTTTACTTGAATACCAACTTTAATGCCTGAATCTTTGTATTTTAGCCAAAGAAGACACTTTCTCCTTCAGACTACTGATGCATGATACATGAATGGGAGATTATAGGATTATAATAATAGCATTTAAAATTTTTCAAGACACTTATCTATACCTTTTCTCACTTGAGCTTCCTAATTTTAAGTGAATAAGCCGATAACCAAAGAACTGCAGAAACTATCCTGCCCACCTAGTCCATTGTGCCCTCTGGAATTCTGATTACATAGTGAACATATTTCCCTTCATTTTGGACTTACTCTCATACTCTTTCCATCTACTTGCTCTCATTGATGCTTCACGTCTCTCAGACAACACGGCATTCCTAACTCTCCATCACTGGTTCTAACTCCATTCACAGCCCTAGCAGACTTTGACTTATCTTGCATCATGAAACACATTGGCATCATCACTCACTCTCCTCATTTCCCTCCAGTGTCTGAAAATGAAATGTCCCATCTTCTTCCCATATCCACCCCCTACACATGTGCCTTTGATCCCCTCTCCTCCCATAATCTTCAACAGAATGCCAGTCAGTCAGTAAGAATTTAACAAATACCTACTATTTGCCAGGCATTATGCTAAGAACTAGGAGTTTCTCTCTTGGGATCTTCAACTTGTCTCTATTCCCTAGTTCCCTTCCTGTTCCCTTCAAACACACTCAAGTTTCCCCCATCCTTTAAGGAAAAAACCTCCATTACATCCTACTTTCCCCTCATTCATTCATATCATTCTATATTTCCCCACCCCCTTTCTCAGTCAAACTTCTAGGGAAAAAAAATTGTCTACACTCATTGCTGCCACTTCTTTTCTTCTCACAATATAACCCTTTGTCTGCCTTCTGAAGTTTTTCTCCAAAGTCAATAATCTGCTAAATCTGCTGGTCTTTTCTCAGTCTTCAAACCTTCTCAACCTCTCTGTTGCATTTCACTTCGCTGACCACTGTCTCCTGTTTGACGCTGTCTCCTCTCTGGGGTTTTTGGGGCATGAGCTTCTCCTGGTTCTTCTCCTGCTTGTATGCTCTCTCTCTGTCAGTCTCCTTTGTTGGATCATCATTGATACGGTGCTGTCTTAACTGGGGGATCTCTGTATTTGACTCTACTCTCATGAGCTCCTATATGTTTGTCACCTCTATGCAAATGACTCACAGATCTATCTATACACCCCAATCTCTCTTGTGAGCTGCAGTCCCAACTGCCTCTTGGGTGGCAACTAAATGCCCCAGCACCATCTCAAACTCAATGTGTCTCAAATTGAACTCATCATCTTCCTCATCCCCACAAACTTTCCCCACTTTCAAACTTTCTTATTTGTGTCAAATGCCATGCCCCCCAGGTAACTTACATTAATCTACTTCATATTTCTTCTGTATCTACTTCTAGTCATGCTTGTTGTCCTCCCCATTAGGCTGTAAAGTCCTTGAGAGGAGGGATCATTTCTTCCTCGTAATCATCTTTCCAGTTTAGCATGGTGCCAGTCACATAGTAAGTACTCAATAAATGTTTTTCATTTGATTGATGAGCCGTCTTAATGTGAAGGTTAAACAGCAATACCCTTTGTCCAGGAAGTTTTAGGAGAGACTCTCAGTCAGGTAAAGTTTAGACTAGGAGATCTGAGGTCACTTCCAACTCTGAGATGGACTTTGTCATTCTGTCAATTTATCAAGTAGGGATTCTTAAATTTATTTCTGTCATTAGCCCCTTAGTAGTCTGGTAAAGCCTTATGGACCCTGCTTCTCAGAATAATGTTTTTTTTAAAATGCATACTTGAAAGAAATGGTGAGTCTCATTTGGAGATTAATTAAAATTAAAAATGTATTTTTCTAATTCACATTCATAGATTTGCCCATGAAATCTACCCAGAGACCCCAAGGGATCCCAGATATTGTCTAGCTGATTCAGTATGACCATTTCTAGATGAGTGAAGATATTCCCTAATAGCATGCCTGGAGCTGCTATGTGGGTTGGCAGCCATTCAAGGCTACCCCGTCTGCCCCTCAGGACACATGAGTTCCTTTTCCTGCTGAAAAAAAGATGAATTGTGGAGACAGAAGCTCTAAGTCACTCTAGGTGAATTATGTGGAAAGAAAACAATCTTGAAATAAATTGAATAGCAAACCTTAGGTTAATGAGATCTTTGAAAGCACCAAATTGTAACATTAAAGAAAAAAACAACTGCAAAGAAATTCGCCCCCCCAAAAAAACCTATTATGTCATAGTACTCAATCTATCTAATTGTCTCTGCTTTCAGAACAAGGTCAATTTAGATCACATTTCTGTAGTGACTTGAAATATTAATACTGAGCTCAATGTATAATGTTTATTAAGCAGCAACATATTGATTTATTCTTTTTCTCATAGCTGTATCAGTGCTTTTCCTAAATGAGAAAAAACTGTCTTATGATAGTGCCCTCAGCCTCACTGTCATTCCTCAACCTAGTATGGACTCACCCAAACCAAGGCATTGCTTACACTGGAATGACTCCAAATGGAATGGTTGGGCAAGTTTGACAAATATCCCATTAAGTATATTGTCAAACATGTGTTCTTAACCTTTCTCTCTGTCATGGACCCTTCTGGCAGCCTGGTGAAACCTCTGGACCCCTCTTAGTGTTAATGGCTCCACATGACAGATCAGGAAACCAAGTCTCAGACAGCTGATGTGACTTGCCCATGGTCACAAATCCTTTAAATGTCAGAGACAGGAATTGAACCATACTTCTTGTGAATTTCAACTCAGTGTTCTTGCCACTATGACATGCTCCCTCAGTCCGTGGGCATTTTATTTTCTTTCTTTCTTTCTTTCTTTCCTTCCTTCTTTTCTTTCTTCCTTCTTTTGGGGTAGCTCAGCAATTGAAAAAAGGCAAAATGTGTTGCGTCCTGGCTTTATTCATATCTATGCCCTTGGTGTTCTTCTAAGTAGTGAGAAACCAGGCCACTCCAAACACCTCACCATTTGGGAAATCAAAAAGGGCTTCTCACAAAGAGAGTTTGAGAAAAATGTTTTTGTGCATTTCCCCCAAAACAAAAGTCTGTTCATTTCATGCCTAAGTACTGTGTCTTCCTTGCCTTCAACTCTGAGATTGCACGATTCTGTGAAGCTAGAAAGCAGCCAGACCTAAAGCCAAGGCAGTTTCAGGTGGAGGGGAGGGGGACTCTCCAGTACAGAGGATAGTCCCCTGTGGCTAAAGTTGTGTCAGAAGTGTTTGGTCTACCACTCAGAAGTTTCTGGCTGTCACCCTCCCAGGAGGTACAGAGCCCCAGGAGAGGGGCAACACAAAACCCTGGGGTGGGTCCAGGGGGGAAAGTTGTGAGGCATTTGCACCCATGAGTCTAGAAGACCACAAGGTATGGTATAGGGATGATGGGAGCCACAGGAAGGAAATGCATTCTCCAGGAAGAAAATACTTCACCCACCAAATATCAGCACCCTGGACAAAGCTCTCTTTGCCTTGAACGAGTTGCAGCTCTGGCTATCAATGTATGTTGTAGTTCCAAACTTATTTCTATCACCTGTTTCAGAAACCTTAAACTGTTCCCTTTTTCAAACAACTAAACAAAGAAATTGAGGTTTCATAGAGGACAAAGTAGAAAAATCCCAGTTCCATTAAGGCTACTAATTTAATAGAACATACTTTTCCCCTAGAATTCTTTAGCAGATAACAGAGATTAAGTGTGTGCATGCATGTGCAATCCTACTAATAACACACGCTAGGAGAATAATAGAACACATGGCTCCCTTCATGCTAATGACGTGGGTCTTGCTCTTTGCAACGAACAGGTGTCACTGAACGAACATTAAGGGGAACTTGGACAGAAATGGCCGCCTCAAAGATTAAGGAAGTTCATTGCAAATCCTATCAAGTGGAAATGGTTGATTACTTCAGTTCTTCATATATGTGAATGAATGAATAAAAACACTCGTATATGCTCTGTGTGTGTGTGTGTGTGTGTGTGTGTGTGTGTGGAAAATACCACAAGTTTTCAACATTCAACTCAAACTGGGAATAAGAAACTAAATTTTCACTCTTGTGCATTCCATTTACTGAGGTTGCTCTGAAGGCCCAAAGGAATTTTGATTTCTACAAACTCAGGCTGTTTGGTGAAACCACAAAGTGGTCATTTTAGTGCCCTATATTTGTAGTTTGGCCAGAACACACGGTAAATGCATCAGGGGGGATATATTTGTTCTTGGACTGTGTGGATTCCAAGTGGGAAAACATGTTCATGGTTTTCTGGTTGAGAATTGATGGAAGAAAGGGTAGAAAGAGGAAGTAATGCTTGGTTAACAAGATAAGATAATCAAAAGTTCAGCTACATGTTTGATGAGCCTGCCTCTTAGAAGTCATACACAGCTCTGGCACTCTGACAACAAGAGAGCAAAGCTTCTCTATTGGACTCATTGAAAGGACTTCTTAAAGGTTACCTAGAGATGTGGCAGGGGTGACCAGATGGTGCAGTGGATGGAGCACCAGGCTTGGAGTCAGGAACACCTGAGTTCAAATCCAGGTTCAGAGACACTTACTAGCTGTGTGACCCGGGGCAAGTCACTTAACTTTGTTTGCCTCAGTTTCCTCATCTATAAAATGAGCTGGAGAAGGAAATGGCAAACCACTGCAGGATTTTTTCCAAGAAAACCCCAAAGGGGATCACCAAGTCAGACACAATAAACAATTAGACAACAAAAGAGATGTGACCTGTCATTCTTCACCCTGTCATTGGTTCCTTTCTGATTCACCCAAGGGTCTCCTTTGTACTTCATAAAGCGATCACCTGGCAAGCATAAAATTTTCAGTTAAATTAGAACTTTATTGCTGCTGTCTTTTCAATAATGAAGTTTGTGAAAGGCCAACTCCTTTACAAAAGATACATACAGAGTAAATGGAAGGTAAGCTTAGAGGCCTTAGAAGTTTGAGGACGAGGAAAGCTCTCCAGTAGAAAGTAGCTTTTGGACTCAGCCTTAAAGAAAGGCAAAATTGTAGGAAGTGGAGATAAGGATAGAGAACATTCCAGATGTGGCAGGCAGTCAGTGAAAAGACATAGACACTACCATATTGTGGAATGGCAATTACTTGTATAACTTGCACTAACATTACTTTTTCTAGAAGTTTCCTGGCAGCATTATTGACTCCAAGTAAAATGGAGCAAAAGGAGCAGGGATTTCGCCCTTAATTGCCCAAACCTCAATCGATGGCTATTGACAGTTCAATAGTCAATTGTTCTGGAAGAGTCGACACTTTGCTTTTCATGTGACTTTCTGACCACATGAACATGTGTAGAGATTAATTCATGGAGGAAATTACAAATCACTGCTCTAAAGGCATGTCTATTCTGGGCTAGTAGTTTGTAATCAGTTCACATTTTATTTCTAAGCAAACTACTTACCTCTGTCTCCTTACAGAGAAAATGATCAATATAGATAACCTCACCATCATGATCTACACCCAATTATAAATTGTTTTAGCATCAGTGCTGAGTCTGAGAGCTTTAGTGAATACACCCAGCTTTGCCATATCATTCTGAACATCTAATGAAAACTCTTAACATCTTTTCCCAGCATGCAATGGAAGGATAAATTAAGCAGGAACAGATTTTTCAAGGTTAATCTCTGTTTTCATTTGCTCAATATCCTGGTTTGAAGCAAATGTGGAATTGTTCTAAGACGGTTCCATTAAGATTTTAGCCCAGCTCTGTATGGGATAGGATTCTGAGCGCCTATCTCCCCCGTCCTACACCTGCCCTGCCTTTCCTTGCAAACCAACTTAGGAGAATTGCAGGCATGCTCTAGGGCCAAGTGTACTTTAGAAGGTCTAGAAATTGAGCCTTATCCCCTTCTGAATCCCCCTCTTCCAACACACACACACACACACACACACACACACACACACACATATGTAATTTTCATCATCCCACACATGCCTAAGGAAAGGGAACAATTAAGGTTCCTCTTCAACTGCTAGACCAGTAAGGAAATTCACTCCATGAACTAACATTGAATAATAGGAAGGCTAGTGGGGTTAGGGTGAGATTTCAGTCACCCTATATCCAAATAGGGTCAGCATCACTGGATTTCAAGCAAAGTGGAGAAAGAGTGTGTAATGAAGTTGAACTACTTCACTTTTCAAAGATGAAAAGATATTGAAGGAACTGGGGCTGTTTGACCTGGAGAAAAGAAGACTCATGGAGGATGTGATAGCTAAAAATAATAACAACTTATACTGCCTACTACATGCCAGGCACTGTGCTAAGCAATTCACAATCATTATCTCATTTGATTCACACAACAACTGGGGAAGTAGGTACTACTATTCTCTCCATTTTACAAAGGAGGAAACAGGTTAAATAACTTGCCAACAGATTTGAACTCAGATCTTCCCAACTCCAAGACCAATGCTCTATCCGATACACTGCTCCATCTATATTTAAATTTTTGAGGGGCTCGATGGCTCAGTCAATAGAACACTGAGTCTGGAATCACAAAGACAGGAGCTCAAATCCAGCTTCAGAGACCTACTAGCTGTGTGACCTTGGGCAAATCATTTAACCTCTATTGGCCTTAATCCACTAGAGAAGGAAATGGCAAACCACTCCAGTGTCATTTGCCAGGAAAACCCCATGGACAGTATTGGCTTGCTATAGTCCATGGGTTCACGAAGAATTGGACACAACTGAACAACAACAACAACATGTGGAAGAGAAACTCACTTTGTTCCACTTGGTCCCAGAGGGAAGAACTTGGAGCAGTGGAGGAAGTTGTAAAAAGATCTAAATACTGGCCCCTCCTCCAGATCCTGCCCTCAGACTGTCTGGGGCCCTCAGGGCTCTGGCTGGGGGCCTCTTCTCTCTTCCCTCTAGACTACTTCCCTTGGTATCTCATCAACTCTCCCAGATTTAATGACCATCTCTATGCTGGTGGTTCTCCAATCTACCTTTCCTGCCCCAGCCTCTCTGCTGATCTCCAATCTTGTCTCTCCAAATGCCTTTCAAATATTTCAAACTAGAAATCCAGTAGACATCTTATACTCAACATGTCCAAAACAGAACTCATTACCTTTCCATCTAAACCTTCCCCTCCAATTTTTCCTGTTACTGTCAAGGGCAACACCATCCTCCCAGGCCCTCAGGCTCATATCCTAGGAACTCATATCCTGGACTCCTCACTACCTCTCACCCCCCCCCATATCCAATATAGTGCCAAGGTCTGTCAATATTTCCTTTGTCACATCTCTCTAATATATCCCCTTCTCTCCTCTGACACTGTCAACACCCTGGTACAGGCTCTCATTTCTTTACACCTGGGGCACCACAATAAACTGCAATTTGGCCTGGCTGGCACAAATCTCTCCCCTATCCAGTCCATCCTCCACTCAGTTGCTAAAGCAGTTTTTCTAAAGCACAGGTCCAACCATGTCACTGCCCCCCCCCACACATGCACAGATGCTCAATAAATTCCAAGGGTTCTCTATAGCCTCCTTGATCAAATACAAAGTCCTAGAAATGCTAATTGCAATTAGAAAAAAAAGATAAAGAAATTAAAAGCTTAAACATTGGCAAAGAAGATGAAAAGCTATCCCTGCCTTCAGACTACATGGTAGCATACTTAGAAAACCTCAGAGAACCAGCAAAGAAATTAAATAAGAAATTAATAGCCCCATTTAACTAAAAGGATATAAAATAAATTATTTAAAATTATCAGCATTTTTACACAACAGTAACAAAATCTAGCAAGAAATATGAGAAAAGAAATGTCCATTCACTATAACTACAAAATGTATAGGTATCTGATTAAGTTACAAAGAGCCAAATCTTGATTCCATCAAGAAAAACTTACTAATAATTAGAGCTTAAAAAAATAGAATGAGCTGCCTTAATCAATCAATTCATAAGCATTTCTTAAGTACCAAACACTTTTCTAGGCACTGGGGATATAAATACAAGAAATTAAATACTTTCTACTCTCAAGGAGCTTACATTCTGCCTCTGAAGACAGTAGATGAGACAATTTTTTTAAAGAAAAAAATAACTTTATAAGGGAGATGACATACAGCAATGGACAGAAGGAGAGAAAGGAGAGGAGACATTACTCAGTGCATAGCTGCCTATATGATTCATGTGTCACCATAAAGAGGCATAGTGCCAAGAAGAAGGCCTGTAATCTGTCATATATGGGGGCGGGGTGAGATGGTAAAGGTCCTGAATTTAGTTATCTCTGTGAATGTTGTATCATGCTCAGTAGAATGTAAGGTCCTTGAGGGCAAGGACTGTTTCACTTTTGTCTTTGCATTCCCAGCCCTAGCACATAGTAGGAGCCTAAGAAATATTTATTGGTTGCTGAGGCTTGAGAATTAATCATTGTAACATGTTTGGAATTTGGGCTAAATTATGTAGTTCATTCACTTCCACTTATTTGAATAAGGTTCTTATATATTAAAAGGCTAGGAACCTGGAGAGTTTAACCAATCCATTAAGAAGACACTGTCTAGGCTTTGGAGATTCAAAAACAAAAATGAAAGTGTCTATCATCAAGGATCTTGCATTTTCTCAACAAAGACAACATGGACATAGGTAAGGATGTACATATCAATTTAAAAAAAAACTACTACAAAGTAATTTAAAGAGGCCCTAACCCCTGGGGGGGGGGGGGGGAAGGGCCTCTCATTCCCTTAGGGAATAGCATCTGAGATGAATCGTAAAGGGTGGAGGGAGGAACAGCCAATGCAAAGCATAGAAATGTGAGCTGGAATGCCTTGAGTGATGAACAAGTAACCTAGCTGGACACAGAATGTGGAAGAGTCAAGTATAATGACACTGGAAAGGTAGATGGGGGCTAAGATGCGAAGAACTTTACAAGCTAAATTGAAGAGTTGTGTTTGGTCAAAGACACAATAGGGAGCTCCTGGTGTT